CGCTATATAAATAAAACTGAATTGAATTGAAGTTTCTACATAAACAAATAAAGCAGCGAGTCAGTACATTATACTTTTAAGGCTGTTCCCAAGTTTGAAACCTCCTATTTATCTCCTCCTATGCATTCTCCACTGGCCCGAAAGGCCTCTGAAACCAGAATAAATGTGTATCGTTACTGGACACACTCCAGCTACATTGAAGAGCTTGAATTTGCACAGTGCTGTCCTTCCAGCTGAGCAAACTTCCTGTGTAGTGTAATGGCTGCAGTGCCAATAAAAACGAATCCAAAAAAGCTTTATACAACACGTTCTCATCTCCAATATAAAAACACACAGTAATCTGAATGACAAAGGGCGAGCGACACGGACCAAGAAATAACAAAAAAACCAAATTATATGTTGACGTGTTTATTGAAGATGAAACATTTACATTAAACACAACATATTCAGTACTGTCAGCAGTACAAAATCCATGCTTATCCTCAGGCGACAACTGTTTAACAACAGCTATGACTATAAATGATGACAGGGTTGGTTTAGAGCTGTGCTGAAGGATGTGTTTGGCGCTGCAGAGGTGACAAACTAAAGGAGAGCCCTGGGCGGTTTAGATGCACTTGAGGAGGTAGGAGTTGCAGTTGGCTCCTCTTCCACAGTCGCAGAGCTTCCCGATGCGAGGCCCGTACTTCATGGCACACCGGTTCCCCAACCCGCACTGAGGGGAGCAGGAAGACACAGACTTGTTACTCTGAGCGAGTTTACTTATTTATCTTTGAATGTGGAAACAGCTGCAAAAAGAACTATGAGCTTTCACATCTGTCAGGGAGGATATTTATTTTTTATTCTGTTATTTGCGCACAAAAACTTCATTACTTTGCGAACAGTTATTCAATTTATTTAACAGAAAGAAGAAGATGAATCATTCTTCAGCGCTGTAATTAAATGCCATCCATTACCTCCAGCTGGGCCTGTAGGAAACAGGCTGACTTATTTTGTGTGAGGAGACAGGAGGATTGAAAGCTTTTTGCAGCTTTCCAGTTTCCCTCTCTCAGCTAATTGGAGTTGGGCAGCAGCCTTGATTAGTCTGTAATTGCACTGAATGAAAGAGTGTTGTTGGCATTCCCTTGTTATCTTTTAATTAGTGGCAGGTATATTTTCCAAACGCTTTAATTAAACAACAGTGGAGTGATGTAAGCAGTACATATTAATGACTCGTCTTAAAAGCCGAGACTAAATGACGTTCTTAGAGCCACGGTGCATTAATGTTAAAACTGGGGGGGAAAGTGACGTTACCAGTGGGATGCTTCCTCTTTTCTCAGGGGAGGAGACTTGATTATGGTTTCTGCCCAGGAGCACTTCCAGTGCCTCTAGCTGCTCGGCACAGAACAACAGAAAAAGTTTGATTTAAATAACATTCATCCACTTTTTGATACTTTTGCACATTTATTCATGCTCAAACTTTTTAATGAAGCCGGAAGATACACAATAAAAACAAAAGTGTCAAACTAACTGTGATAGAGTGTTAACGCTAGACTGTGAGCTGTGTTACCCTTTCAGTCAGTTTCACTCAGGTTAGAGTTAAATGTTAAACGTGTTAGCATTTGTAACACTGCACTGTCAGCGCTATTCATGTTAATAACACAATTATGTTACAGAGTTACTACTAAGACTACAGTGAGATACTTTTTTGATACTGTAACTTTATTCCAGCAAACTAAAACATGTCCAGGTTCATTTGAATCATATGAATCATGAATTTATGAGTTTATATGTTTGCAGTTGAAAACATAATTAGACACATTACAAAGGATATAAATGCAATTAAATAGAAAGAACGCAATTTACTAAATTTCAACTGAACTCTCTGAAAAGCTGTAGGCTAAAGCTTTTGTTTATTATGCTTATCATGCTTACACATATGCTAAATGGCAAAACGTTCATAACTAACCACAGCAAAAACCTATGGTAAATGGACTGGTTCTTATATAGCGCTTTTCTACTCTTCTGAGCACTCAAAGCGCTTTATACAACTTGTGCATTCACCCATTCACACCAGCACATTTTTCCTAGGTGCTTTCTAACTGACATTCACACACATTCATACTCCGATGGACGCATCGGAGAGCAATTTGGGGTTAGTATCTTGCCCAAGGATATTTGGCATGCAGACTAGGGGAAGCCAGGAATCGAACCACCAACCTTCCGATCAGTAGATGACCTGCTCTACCACCTGAGCTACAGCCACCCCAAAAAACAGGCAAAACAGACAAAAGTGACCGTTATAATCACCCCTCAGTTTGACGTTATTTACAGCATGACTATTAATATAACGAGCCGTTGTGCAGTACATGTGTTGCATAATTTAATGTAACTTTTTTTTTCTTTCTATTAAAAAATACTTCATCATTATTCACGGATCAAAGAAAAACATGGTTCTAATTATTGACAACGTGAGCCATCATTTTTGGCCACCAGAAACCACCGAGGATCAAGTAAATCACACTTAAGTTTCACGAAAAAATAATTTAAAAAAAAACTGATGTGCAGCTGCATCCCCACTGAAACCCAAAGACATACAGCAGACAGAAAAGCAGCTGATGTGACAGTTAACAGTTGCTGTCATAGGAAATCCGGGAATATTGCATAAGTCTGCAAACTTTTACTTCTGTTTATTCTGATTGTGTTTAAGCAGCGTGGAAGTGAGAGAATCGCATCCAAATGAAATGCGCTTTATTTGGATCCTACGTGTTGATGTTGATTTGAGTATTTGTGCCTCACAAACAGTTTATACCTCACATGTAGTTTACAGCATCCGTCCAGAATCTGAGTTTGTACTCAAAACGATATTTTCTTTTCTTAGTTATTTGGCGTCTCTCAGCTTTATCATTAAACTGCTCCCTCCCTCACTGTGGCCTTCCTCCATAAACTCACAGCTCTGCAGATACTCACCAGGTCTCTGTCTACAGCTGCTTCTTGTTTCTTCTCTCCAAAGTCTTCTGCGGAGACTTCCCGTGATGCCTGGCCGTGGCACAGGACGGACAGCAGGCCGACGAGCAGCAGCCCGCGGAGCATCCCGGAGCTATCCATGGTGCTGGTGGCGGTGAAGCGGGAGGGCGGAGGTCCCAGTGGGAGGCAGCAGATTAGAGGCTGAGGAGCACAGTGTCGCAGCAGGTCCACAGGTGACTCTCCCTCCACCCTCCGGACCATGTCCCCTCTTATACCGGTTCACACAGCCCCGCCCGGGAGGCCGCTGCGAGACTATCATACCGGAAAGTACTGAAGGGAGGGGGGGCAGAAGCACGAGAAGCCCACTCTCCTCTCTCTTTTGGTTAGACCACGAGGAACTCACACATCATGTGTAAACACACACACACGCACACGTTTAAATGTCTAATCTCATCCCCCCAGCATCATCCCTGATTACCTGCTTACTTCATTTCCTGTGTGATAAAGGAAGGAGGGATTTTCATTCTGAACGTCTTTGCCCATCAAAATAACTTTTACTGTTTTGTAGCACCGCCATGTATCACAACGAAGTTATCATTTAGCCACATAAAATTCCATCCTGAATAAAATATTCATAATTTTAATATTTATTTTCATATGAATTGTGTTGTGGGGCAGGTACTTATATATAAATATATATTTTAGATTACATCAGAAAACATCACACACAGTTGAGAGAATTACCTTCAACACCACTGTGTGTAAAACCGCCACTTCTGCATTCTTACTTCAAGTCTAACAAACACATGTAAGAAATTCTTCCTCGGTAAGAAGAGCAGAAGCGTTTTCATGGAGCTGTGGCCTGAAACGGCTCTATGAGGTTAAACAAATAGTTTTTAAAAACTCCCTGGATCAAACTGTTATGGCTGGATTATTTCTCCTTAACTCTTTAGGCAGAGGTGAGCAGTGTTACAGCTTATATCCCTGCTTCCACCCCGCAGAGGCCCTCAGTCTCCTCCCAGTCACCTGTCAGACACACCCACTCCACCTTATCCCAGTTTCTCTACCTGCACCTCACTCATTCCTTTGTTTCCTGTAAACTCACCTCTCACTCTCAAACATGTTTAGTTGCCTGTCTACCAACCTGACTGCCACCCAGCAAGATCATTTTTTAAATAACAACTTGC